CGCGTGGGATTGCGCCTGGGACTGGAAGGGGCCTTGGGGAGTGCGATCCGTGGCGGGGGGGCCGTTGATGGCTGGGGGGCCCATGGCGGACGAGGTCGAGGGCGTCACGTCCATGGGGTCTCTCGGGGGCGCGAGTGTCGAGGCGGACGAGGGCAGAATGGGTATGGACTTGTGGAGTTTGGGATTGCGTGCATCGGCGGAGAAGGGCGTGGAGCGGGCCTCGGCAACCGAAGCCATTGCTTGGAGGGAGTGGGGAGAGGGAGTCGAGGCTGCGCAGGGTGGTTGCGCGTGGGCTGGCGTGGGTGGTGTCGAGGTTGTTGCAATGTTGGTCGGGGTGAAACGGGTGGGATTGCAGATGGGCGACGAGGCAGCTCAGCAGCGTTTCGCACAGAGTCAGTGCGAGAGCGAGACTCGACACAGAGGCAGGCGACGCAGGGACCCGGGGCTGCAGTGCGGGCGGCGAGGATGCTCGGTGGGAGGCCGGGGCGAGGGCAAGCAAGCACTTGGGTCGAGTCGAGGCCTGAGGGGGGGGAAGGGCAGGACAGGACAGGACAGGACAGGACTTGTTCAGCCAGCGAGGGCGGTGCTAGTGCATGGGCGAGGCGGCGTGGAATTTTGGTTCCAGAAAGGTCGGCATGGCAGACGGCGGCTCCTTTGTCGATCGGGAGCGGCCGCCGCTGTACTTAGCAGCAGTCGGATGGGAATAGGAGATGGGGAGCGACCGAGCGCCGCGTCCAAGCGGCCTCGCCTACTACTGAGCGGCCTCTGCTACGGTGCATGCGCATGTGCTTCACGCGACGGAACGGGAGCGCTGCCGCAGAACCATGGCGGATCCCAAGGCCGATGCACTGAAACGCCGTCGACAATCTGGCGAAAACACCAGCCGTTTCCGGTGCGGGGTCGGCGAGGGCCAAGTAAGTATGTACATGCTCTGTTGTATTATTATTCTTGTTATTACTATCATCTGTCTAGTAGTATACGTATGCATCATGTACGTACGTACTGTGCTGTGTAAGTAGTATGTATCTATGTAGCATGTAAGTAGTATGGCTGCATGCATGCGTCTACCATGCAACTATCTATGTACCACCGCCATCGCTCTACTACTACTACACCTTCACCTTCACCCACACCCACACCCACATACACTACATATGTACGTGCATGTCGTATGTAAGCATCTGTCCTGCACCTCTCCTTCCTTCCTCCACTCCCCTCCCACTCCCCCCCTTCCCTCTCTCCCCGTCGCCACACCTGCTGCCTGACTCGCCATGGCTGCCCCGTGCTCCCTCCCTCCCCCTGCCAAACGTCACCCGCCGAACCCTCGACTCCATCCCCCGTCCCCGTCAGCTCTCGACCAACCTTCCAATTGCCCCTCTTGACTAATCCGCCCATGGTCATCATGGCCGATTTCGTCCAAACCTTCACCCGTTTCAATCACGCCCAGAGACAGCATGCCCTGGCCCTCTTGACGGCAGAGCTGACTCCCCACGAGTGGAGGTACCTCCATGCTCTGACCGGCTCCCGCTCATTCAAGTTTGATATCATTGGCCGCCTGCCCATCGAGTTGGTCGCTCACATCTTCACTCACTTGGATCCCGCCGCCCCTTATCGCTTCCAAATAGTCTCAGCCCGCTGGCGCCATATTCTTCAAAGTCCTTCTGTGCTCACTGCCGGCCTCAACTCATGGTATCAGGGTACGGCGAATCCCAAAGACTTCGAACATGGCACTTTACGCCAGTGCGCAGCCAGGAGAATCCACCGCTTCCGTACCGGGAGACCACTCGGCATTTACAAGATAACGTCAGACAATCGAATAGCCCGTCCCAGCCTGCGTGGTGACTACTTTGCATGGCTGTCCGGGACCCCGCAGACATCGCCAATACGTGTTGCCCATATATTCCATCTACACGATTGGAAAGTAGGCCAACTAGCCGGAGAAGCACGTGAACAACTTATTGACCTGGTACTTTCAGACCAAATCGTGGTGCTTGTCACTGCTGCCAACGTGTGTTACGTCTACGACGTGGCCACCCTCTCGCACCGAAAGAGATTCACGGTGCCTTCCGCAAGCTACCTGCAGAACGTGACTTGTCGTCGGAGTACCGTAGCCTGCCTTGCCTCGCTTGACATGCACATATCCGTCTTCATCTGGGACTACAATACACAGCGGGGAACATCGTTCATCATTAGCCATGACTCTGACATATTTCTTGGCACGCACGGCCCGAGGTGAGTGCCATGGATTGCCTGCTACTACCACTACCTTTGCCAGACAAGAATATCTATTGCAGCAGCCGGCTCAGGCCTTGCCCATGCAGCACAGCTACAAACTACAGGTGACAGCATGCACAGCTAACCAGTTCTCTAGCGGATTGCTACACATAGTACCTCTCTTACAACCCGAGAGCGAGACAATCATCCTCATGTTCGTCATGGATACCCCTACAGAAACACCAAACCGATCCCTGGTTGCATGTGCCACATACACTTTTCGGGGCGATTACATTAGCTCTTTCTCTCCACGTCTTCCAGAGCTCAAACCACTTTTGGTTTGGCATGGCGTAACGCCCTTTGTCGCAGTAGACGATTCAGGCAACGTCTTTGCGGCACGTGTGGACGCAAGGAATCCAAACTCACAACTAATTAACCCTTCGATTGCCTCTCTACTCCTTAGATTCGATACACAGACCAACGACTTGAGAGTATGGGAAGACCCGATATATCACAGTAATAGCCCCCGTGGCATTGACAACTATCGATCTTCTTGGTGGAAGGATACTTGTTATGGATTTCATCCGTCCATGGAAACCTTAAATATCATCACCTACATGGGTACCCAAGATAAAGCAGCCTGCACACCAATGACTTTCGATCCCCACAGCGAAGTCACAAATGTCGATATTCCTACAGAGCCTTTGATGGTCAATGAAAGGTATGTCGTCAGAGTAATGGCTGAAAATATATATCTGCTGTGTTTCCACGAAAGCTTCGTTCGGCCAACAACAGGAAACTTCTCTTTCAAGCACGGAACGATTCAAATCTCGAGTTAGTATGCTCACTGGCTTCTGTCAATGTGAACAGGGACATGATTCTTGAAATATGATATGGTCACCCGGATATCCTTGCAGGCGTGATGGTCGTTGTATGGAAGTCTTGTAGTGGTCACGTTACCATTTTTGTTGGCGACCGCTGGCACTACTTCGCCACCATAAAAAACTAGAGTTAGACTATTACCAAGATTGCTCAGCAGAAGCAATGGGAGGCAAATTTTAGACCTGTCATGCTACCACTAGGGTTGTTTTCCACTCTTGACAGTGTGTCGGAGTTTTTGTTTGGGTGGTGAAATAATCATACAAGCAATTGCCTGCATCAAACGCCCTGTGGTCACCTGATTGGCTCCTGACATAGCGCGGGGCACAGGGAAACCCCACCCATTGAATTTCGGCCTTCGCCGCTCTAACCTTGCCTACCTAAGTAGGTAACTATTTTGACTGCTACCGCGGCTACAGACTTTTTTTTTTCCTTTATTTTCTCGAGAACAATTTTCGCCGCTTGTCTACGCCTTTCTCTTGACATTTCGATATCCAGTTACAAGACCAAAGGCAATTTGAACAATCCGCGACAATGGTTGAGAAGGTTTACGTCACGTACAACCAGGTAAGTGGCTGCTCATGTGCAACCATGCACCCCGCGCATGCCCACGCTCATGCGCTTCCCTTGTATACTTGTGGGCAGGCAAGGATAGTTCACGAGTGCTTACTTCCGAGAGTCGCACGGTCTTTGTGTTCTTGACGAGCGCAGCATGCGCACAGCAAGACCTTGGTCAACGTCTCCAGTCATGTCGTTGTGGTACTGAGTCGGAGCGCAGCACTCTTAGGTTCCAGGTTCCAGCCAGACACTGACATATACTCTCCACAGGTCCACAAGCTCTGCCAAGAGGCAGCTGACAAGATCCTTAATGAGTTCCAGCCCAACCTCATGATCGCTATTGGCGGCGGAGGCTACGTCCCTGCGCGCATTCTGCGGTATGCGCTCACACTCTGTTTGAACCTTACAGCACACGAGCCTAACATCCCCACCCCAGATCTTTCCTCAAGAAGCCCGGTAGCCCCAACATTCCCATTCAAGCTATCGGTCTCTCCCTCTACGAGCAGCTTGGCTCAGGCCCCGATTCCGAAGTCGAAACCCCCGGCACAAAAGTCACACGCACACAATGGCTAGACCTGTCCTCGCTCGAGATGGCCAACCTGATTGGCAAGAACGTCCTCATTGTCGATGAGGTAGATGACACCCGCACAACGCTCGAGTACGCCGTCAGGGAGCTGGAAAAGGACGTCGAGGCAGCCGTCAAGAAACTGGGACGCGAGGGCGAGAAGACCAAGTTCTCCATCTTTGTTCTACACAACAAGGACAAGGCGAAGAAGGGCCAACTGCCCCAGGAGATTCTCCAGGGCCGTTACATTGCCGCCAGGACCGTAGGCGATGTTTGGATCAACTACCCTTGGGAAGCTACGTACGTTTTATATACCGCATATGTAGATTTGGCATGGACAGACCCACTGACATATATCTGTAGCGACATTGACGAGCACGACCGCCACTCCAAGGAGGCAGAGTCCAAGTAATAGACGACGCAGCCATTCAGTGCACGCTTCAGCGAATAAATATACCCGGACTGACGCGGATGGAAGGGGGGTGTTGGACATGACGAAGGGAGAAAAAAAAAGCATAAATGATTTGGCATCGGGGCACTAACGTGCAGGGACTTGTACAGGAGTTGAAAGGGAAACGGCGATATTTGAAGCCATTTAAGGACCAGCCTTATGAATGAGGTACGATTGAAGTTGGTAACGAAAGCAATCCAACTTGTTTGAATGACATGATAAGTGAAAGAATCAGTCTGCTTGAATTGTACACAGCATTTCTTGTTGATTAGTACAGGGTATCTTATCGATATTCTATGCTAGTACATGCCCGTCATCATACAACATTGCCTTTCACTGCCCCGCCTCGGCCCTCTGCGGCGCCCACCCCTTAAGCCAACTCCTCGCCCTATCCAAATCGCCTCCCTCAGCCTCAAGCGCCGCAACACACCATTCGAGCGCATAACCCCCCTTGCCCTCTATCCCCTTCTCCGCCGCCATCATCTCCGCCAGCCCCCTGCACTTTTGCGCGCGCTCATCGACGCAAAAATGGAGTGGGGTATCGTACCCCTTTCCATCCATACCCTGCAAGAAAGGTTTGACTAGAGGAATGGCATCTTTGGTTGCAACGGACTGATCCGGTTGGCCGAGATTCTTGCGGCCAGAGCGACAATATTCGTTTTTGCACCAGGGTTTGGCGCAGCCGGTGAGGAGTTGGCTTAGGTAGCGGCGTTCGATGCGGCGGCGGAGGGCTTTGCCTTCTGGGTCGTGGAGGGAGACGTATAGGGGGCCAAAGCATGTGCTGCAGAGTCCGATGTCGTTGCCTGGGCCCTGGCCTTTGCGGGTTCCCGCACGTGTATCGCCGTTTTTTGCTGCGCCGTCCTGCGTGCGCCCGCAATTCACGTTGCGGCAGAGGCGTGGCGGTGGGCGGGATAGGCGCTCGAGATCGTGGTGGCGGAGATGCGTGTCCATGTCTCTGAAGCGGATGATTTTGGCGCACAAGTGGCATTCTGTAGTGCGGCCTCCGTCGGCGAGTTCGTGGGGGGTTAGACCTGAGAGGAGGAGTTCGGGCGATTGATCGTTTGGATCGCCTTCTTGCGCGACTTGCAGGTGGCAGAAGCGGCAGAGGATGAGTTTCGCTGGGCACAAGGTTGTTTTGTGGTGGGCGAGGGTGGGGAGGGAGGGGAAGGGGAGGGAGCATGCGGTACAGGTTTGCGGGGTGTGGTAGTATGCGTCGTGTTTCTGGTGGCTGAGGGGCGTGTTTCCTGTAAAAGTGTCATGGGGGCAGTGCCAGTGGGTTTCGTAGGCTTTTGAGCGCTTTTGGAATACTTGGCTGCAGCCTTGGGGGCAGAGGATGTTGTTTCGCAGGCAAAAGTTTTCGTGGAGGAATAAGGAGCTTTTGGGGACGATTTGCTTGCAGTTTTTACAGATTACTTCGTCTTCTCCAACTTCGGGTGAACCTTCAGTCTTGCTTTCGACTTCGGCCTTTGGATCGAATATTGAGACCCTCAGGCGGAAGGGCTTCGGTGTGGTGGAGGGTGATGCGGATGGATATGCGTGCACTGAGATCCATATTGCTTCTGCTTCTTCGAGCTCGATGTTCGTAGGTTGTAATCGTATGCGTTTGGGGTATTGACTAGACAGATCTGCAAAGACGTGCTCCTCTTCCCGAGGACGAACTCTCTGGCGTGAAGAGAAGGGGCTAACGAAAAGATCAATCTCATCTTCATCGTCAACCTCATCTAACAAGATCTCCAACCCTTGAGATCGGTCCCAGGACGCTAACTCAAAGTCAACGTACTCGCCTTCGAGTATCTGCCCAGATTGTGCATTGAATATATCAACAGTGCCACCGGTTGAACTGCCTTGTTCAGTGCCAGGCGCACGGTGCCTCTTAGCTGCTATCCTCTTCAAAGTTTCGTGTGCCTGCTCTTCGTTCAGAGGTTCAATATCAACCTCTAGATCCGTATCTACGACGCATATTCCCTCTCCCTCAGGCTTGAAGCCGTCGATCAAGAAGCGGAACTCCTCGCGTTTGCCGCCGACTCCTCGACCGCCATGCACGACTAGAATCTCGCCATTTGTCAACGTTGTAAAGTTGGATCGTAGATGTTCTTCGAGTAGCGACTTCCAGTCTTCGGGGTCGTAGCCTGCTTCCAGAGGCCGCAGCTTCACAAAGGCGCCCTTGGGTAGCTGCTTGGCATGCACGGTGATTTTGATAGCGGCGTCGCTATTGCTGCCACTGCCAAGTGTCTCGTCTACTCCGGTTTCCATGGTATGATCTCCATCTTTGTCATCATGTGGGCTCGCATTTCTCGAGGGCTCTGCAGATTGCTCTTGGATGCCCAAGGCCTCTTTCAGAAAGCTGCTCAGCACAATCTCGCCCTCTTCCGCCGAAAACTCGCGAATGCCTGCGTGTACGGCTCGGCCATTATCCGGGTTTACCAGACGGAAGGTAAGAGGGTGGGGTAGTTGCTGGAATCGGTCCTGTGCTTGCGCCCGCGCATGTCGCTCGGCGTTGAAGGTATATGGATTGAAGGGATCGAAAGCGGTCAAGTGGGGTTGGTTCGCATCGACATGGACTACGGGTGCCGCAGCAAGCAGCTGTTCTAGCGCTGAGGGCGGCAGGAGGACTTTGTCGCCAGGAAGCGCATTTCGGGTTGCACTAGCGAGTTTGTACTGGCCGGACCATTTGAGCTCTGCTGCTGCGGGGTCTATCTCGGGATTCATAGCGGAGGGGTATCGTAAAGAAAAGAAAAAGAGAGATGATGACAATAACCAGCAAGGACTCTACTAACACAACCCTACATGAGGCGGTGGCAGATGTGCACCAAGTCTAGTAGTAGTAGTAGTTCTGTCAGTCAACGACGGCTGACATATGCGGCTCTGCTCGAAGCTTCGGTGATGAGTGGCGTCATAGCTTACCTCTGCTAGTAGGCGTAGGACTGACTAGTTGAGTAACTCCGAGCCGCGATGCGATGCGATGCTTATCGATAAGGCGGCGACGCGCGTGGGAGACGCGTGCAGTGTGCGGCGTGCAGCGTGGGGAGGTTCCGGTGAATGGCGGGGAAGGACTCGTTTCAACTACATCTTTGGGCCCATCCACCTTCGGCCTTCAGTCTCTAGGCGTGCATTAGTCGCGAGGGGCTATGCAGTATTGCCGGTCACTACTCAATGTGCCTCCATGTTTCGATATGGCGATTCATTGCCGTAACTGGCCAAGGCGGGGCAGATAGCCCGTCTGGCAGTGTCACGGCGCCCGCTTGGGATGCCGCAGCAGCGGCTTGCTAATGTTTCCGGTGTCAAACACCTAAGCCTTTGGACACGGCCTTGGCTGCAAAATGTGTTCCAAGGCATGCTTCATCGCCGCCTGATCTTGCAGGTATCTGCGAATTGCTGGCTGTCCCCCCGCTTGGCAGGGTCTTGTATTTGCGATCGCCACAGGGGCCGCGCACCCCACGTCCGGCGCAACCCCAACCAACCTCTGCAGTGTCTCAACGTCCATTAGTCGATCCTCTTGCTCATCCCAAGCACCCTCCTGCAGCGTCAGATCAAGGGCACGTGCCCCCCAGTCTGGGCAACCTTCTTCGCTGTCATAAAGATTCGGTGAGTACCCGTCTAATCCGCCTGCCCAGCTTGCTTCTCTCTCTGCCCTCCCTTGACCTTTCGCCATGGGCCCGGCTACATTCACCCACGACCTTCCTACCTCCCTGGCGGACCTTCTCTCTAATACCTTAATTCTGCGTCAAACTGCCCCATACCTCCCCGTCTCTGCTCTCCGTAATCTGTCCCGGACCTCAAAGTCCCTCCATGCCATCATTCATTCCCCCGAGGCTTTCCGCTACCTTGATCTCTCAACCGTCAAGTCCGCCATTGTACCCTTTGAGGGCCCTCTGGACGTCGGCGGCGTCAATTTCCGTGCTAAACGCATGGATGAAGCCCTCACCGAAGATGACTTCTACAGCGGTCTTCTACGACACATCTTCAACAGGCTTGAAAAGATCCACGTCCTTCAGAATGTGCACACTTTGGTCCTAGACGGGCTCAGCGTAACAGCAGAGCTCGTCAAAGACCTGCTCACAGAAGAGAGGTTCAACGTACGCATACTCTCTATTCGTGAAGTCAAGAATTTGAACGAACGCAAACTCCAACAATACATGCGATATGCCGTACGTCCGTCAAGACCTGAGGGCACCCCTCGAGTCAAGGGCATCTATCTCTTTGGATCCCGCGATCCTCCTCCGCGTCCTGCATCGCCTCCGACAAAAAGGCAGCCGTCGCCCGTATCCAGAGGAGTGATGTCGTCAAGAGGAGCGCAGATTGGAGCACAGTGGAACGAGAAATCACAGCAAGCATTGGACGTTGCACTGTCACGGACAGAAGACAAATGGTACAAATCATCCGGAAAGATCATATCAAAGCGTCCCTCTCCGGAGTGGGCAGAGATACTCCAGGAGTGTGCCGGTATCATTGCTTTCGATGCCGTTCTTTGCAGAGGTCCACGCCACGACCCAAGCAAAGCGTACATTAGGGACCCTTCAGTTGCGGGAGCTCATCATCCAGCAGCTTTCCTTCGGCCTTCGATTGCCACTGTTGCCCTGGGACCATCTGGCTGTGAGACATGCCATTCCTCCCCTGAAGGACCAGCCGTGTTCGGTAGCTCGAGCCCGGCCCATCACCCACTACTGAGTCCCGTTCCGCTGCATGGCAGCACTGTCCGTGCTGCTCAGATACCACATACCCTTGACGGAACCGCCTCTCCACCTCTCATAGTACGATGCGAAGACTGCCTCAGAGGTCGCTGGTGCGAGAGGTGTCACAAGTGGTGGGATGAAGATTGTTACGTGGTTCCAGCTACCGCCCAACGTACGGAATTGCAACAAACCGAGATTGTAGAGAACCTTCAATCCGATGGGACCACTCGAATGCTCCCGAAGCAAAAGACCAAGGTATTTATGGACCTCTGCGTGGAAGAGTGCCTGCCTTCAGAAATGATGGCTGGTGCTGGCAGCAACGGGATGTGGGGGTGAAACCCTACCTTGACGCGCGGGGAGCGAGATTACCTTGAGGCCGTTACGAAGTAGCTGGATTCCGGAACCTAGTCTTCTCTAGACTAGCCGTGGAGCCTGGTTATTGGATAATTGCAACCTGGAAATCGCCACTTGCGCGTCGAGGTATGTGCTCCGTCTATAGACAAGAAATAGGCTAACATGGAGACTCGCAGATTATCGGTGTGCGACGTGACTGTTTCGGCTGTGGCCATACGGTATGTACCCCTGTGCCCCGAATCTTATTATACTAATATCTGGCAGTGCATCACTTGCAAGGAACTCTTTATTCGGACCTGCAAGAAGTGCAACAATGAATATTGCCGTGAAGACAACGACGCTTCTTCTGACACCATGGTGCGTACATATCATGGCAAGGGTATTCTCCATACTGACTACTCCTAGTGTGACTGGTGCAACTACACTTCGCGAAGAACTGTAGAAATGTATTAAAATGCCCGAGTGACACTTCTAGGGACACTATGCCTGCTATAGGGCCACAGCCAGGTGCTGTTTATGATTGATGCGAGAATTCTGAATATGAATAATGACTCTCCTCTTGTTAGCAATATTGAATACCCCTCTCCACCAAAAGAGAACCAAATGAATAAAAAATTATACGAAAACGCTGCTTGTTAGACATGGTGATTCATCCTTGACTCCTAACAGGAGATTTAGCGTGCCTCTGAATTAGCGTAGACCTACCTTATTCGGCGTGTTGTAACCATGAGCTATGACTAAGCCAAATCGGCGAATGAAGACGGGAAAGCGCCGATGCACACGATGACATGTGGCTGTCGCATCTGAGCCGCAACACTGCGAACACAACCACTGCTTTCCTGGCATCCTGGCAAACAAACCCGCTACCCTTCTATCCATCCCGCTTTCGATGCGATCTGTCCTTGCAGCTCAATAGTCCACAGTGACGTCGACCGTTGCCCCACGTAATAACTTGAACCAAGGCTCCTCCGCGACAGCTCCGCCAGGCATCCTAATTACCCTCCTATTCAATTGACCCCCCTCGACACGTTTCCTCCCTCCAAACACCGCGCCCACGATCGGAATTTCGCAAAATGGCCCAATACGGCTACGGACAGAACCCCCAATATGGTGCAGGCAATGCACAAAACCTCCAATTCTACTCCTCGTCCTTCTCGAATCAACCAGTATCTGGGCACTCTACACCCTTCCAAGCAAACTATGGCGCGCCAGCGAGCCAGGCATATCCTTCTCAGTATGGCGCTGGGTTTTCGGCTCCAGGAGTGAGCGGACAGATGGGAATGGGTACATCAGGCCTACGTACAGGCTGGTTGGCAGCATTTGGCACAGAGGGGTATGTAAACAACGTTTCGACATGAAACCTTGCTAACAATGGGCAGATACGAAGGAGAACCCCCACTACGTACGCCGCGCCGAAAACCTGAGCATACGCGCAAGCTGACAAAACGCAGTGGAAGAGCTAGGAGTGAACTTTAAGCATATACAAATGAAGGTGGGTTGTGGGTAATACTTGCTTGTGGTGCTAGGCTAATACTGTGCAGACATTGGCCGTTCTGAACCCTTTCGGCCGTATCGATCAGCACATTATGGATGATAGCGACGTAGCTGGCCCGATTCTTTTCTTCTTAATATTTGGCACGTCGTTATTGGTATGCAAGGCACGTCGTTTCATGGAGAGCATGAGCTAACTGCTGTTAGTTGTCTGGTAAACTCCACTTTGGTTACATATATGGTATGTGTATTTGCTCTGTGTATATGCGGTAATTGACAGTATACAGGATTGGCATTTGTAGGCACCATCCTACTTCACCAGATCCTTTCTCTCATGTCCCCTCCTGTCAACACGGTTGAGGCGACACCTGGAGATCATGGTCACCCACATGGGTCGCACCTAGGTTCCTCATTGACCTTTCCGCGATCGGCGTCCGTCCTAGGTTATTGCCTGCTCCCTCTCGTATTGGTCGCCATTTTCGGAATCATTGTCCCACTTGACGGGTTGTTCGGATATCTTCTTACGAGCCTGGCAATCACATGGTGCTCGTACAGTTCGAGTTCAATGTTTACCGTTGTTGGTAAGTTTGCTTTTAAATTCTAGATAATGCATATGCTAACTAAGTCACAGGCCGCATGACATCAATGCGAGGCTTGGTAGCATACCCCATGGTTCTCTTCTATGGAAGTTTTGGTATCATGGCCATCTTCAGCTCACGGGGTACTGGACAACTGGCAAAGGCGGCAGCATCGTAGAGGAAGATGAAAATAGAGGGCTCAGCGACTTTTTGACAGCAAAACTTGTAGAATAAACAGTCAAGCATGTGTACTATTTTTGAGGATCAACATAAATACAAAACATATCCAAATGTGGTATTACTATGTACATGGATGTGTTGAGGCGGGCAGCCAATCGGAGCGCGGATGACATACTTGGAGCGATGACGATGCGAACCCTGCACGAATTTGTTTCTCCCGACAATCTCCGCCACCCGTCGCATCTTCTTCAGCCCTGTGTATTCTTCCCTGCTTTTTCCCAGAAACACTTTTCTTCTTCTTTACATACAGCAATCAAAAATGGGTTGGTTTTGGGCAGACACTACATCCTCTGCGCCTGCTGTGCGCAATGCACCGCATCCAATGCCACGAGGCAGTATGGAGCCTCTTGTATGTATAACAACACTATTTGCATCTGCGCCTCTGACAATGCCTCCAGCCCGAATGTCCCATGCACAAGAAAGCCGCACCACCCGTCGTCGCAGAGAAGACATCTCAAAGCGCCTGCCCCTACGTCCCACCTGAGAAATCTTCTTCTGGTCCCTCCGAACCACCAAAGACCGGCCTACTCTCCCGCCTAAACCCCCTCAACAACATGTTCGCCGACCTCTCCAACGAACGTGCAGACAAACAAGTCCACAACCTCCCTCTGGAGCGCGAAACCTCCACCATCCCCAAAGGAGACGGTTCCCTCTGGGAATACCCCTCCCCACAACAAATGTACAACGCCATGCTCCGCAAAGGCTACACCGACACCGATATCACGGCCGTCGAAAGCATGGTCGGCGTGCACAATTTTCTCAACGAAGGCGCCTGGGCCGAAATTATGGGCTGGGAACGCCGCTTCTCGCGTGGCCTTGCCGAAGGCTATCAGATCTGCAAGAAGGGTGAGGACGTAGCGAATTTCCTGCTTGGCACCGCCGACGATCCGTTTGATACGACGACCTGGGATGACAAGGATATCCCGCCCCCAAAGCTACTCCGCTTCACGGGTCGGCCTACGGAGCCCACGCCCAAGTCGCAGATTCTGCAGTGGCTCGGATACGTCATGCCTGAGCAGTTTGGCACGAACCCCCCCTTCGATCGCCATGACTGGTTCGTTGAGCGGTGCAATGAGAAGGGGTGTAAGGAAGTCCGCTACGTAATTGATTACTATGAGGGTGCGCCTGAACCCACTGGTGAACCGGTTTTCTACCTCGATGTCAGGCCGGCGGTTGATGGACCGACGAGTGCGGCTGAGAGACTGATTCGGAGTGGCACGGATCTTTGGTGGAGGGCTTCTGGGGGTGTGACGAGGGAGTTGAAGAGGCTTGAGGCGGCGAAGAAGGCGAAGGAGGAGGAGTGGGCGGCTAAGAGTCGGCAGTACAACTAAGGGGGCGATGGGTTTAGGAGATGCATTTCACTGTGGCGTTTCAAGTAGGTGGAGTTGGGATGTATGATTATGATGGTTTGCGGGGATATGAGTTATGGGTTATGGGTTCCTTTTCTTTTCTTGTATGTTTGATTAGCAGGGCTTTGGGACACTGGGTACCGGTTTTTCTTCTGCCTGTTTACATACCTTTTTTACTCTACTCTATTTCGAATTTTCGTATTCAATCATATTCAATAACGTCCATTGCTATATCGTAGGACACCCTACGCAACTATAGGTACTTTCTAAAGTCTACTTACCAGAAATACTAAACAAGAAGGATATTTATACTGAGCTTAAAGTAGCTTAGCTATAATCTATTACCAACGCTAAATGTATAGCTAAATGGCTAGGTAGCTGTATAGCGCTTTGCGAAGCGCCCTAGGACACCTAAACCCTAACTTAGATTAGTAGTACTGTAGAGCTAGGCTTCAAGGCCCCAGCGTACAGCTTATACCAGCGAATACATCCAAGCATCAAAATCGCAGTCATCTTCCGATACGGCAATTGTGAAATTTTAAGAGGAACCGTAACGCACAACTCTAGCCAACGTGAAAGTTTGCATACCATAGCGATACAGGATCACCCCCGCTCCACAAGCGCCGCAGACCCGCCGTTAGTCCCTCGTCCAACCCATCACTTCTTCATACTTGGCGAGCATATCGAAAACAGATACATATACCCGTTTAGACGATACTAGCGCTAGATCTACATCAGCTTGCCCCCCCAGCCACCTTCCCCGTCAACCCCCCTCCCTCTAGCGTTCATTTAAACAGGCACCAATCTAATGGCAACCCACTTCCCCCGTTCAATCGATACATACCACACCCTGGACGAAATAACAGCCCTATGGCGCCAGTTCAACAGCGAACGAGCGGAGTGGACCACCCAGCAACACGAGGAATGGCGTATATTCATGTATCGCCAGTGTCTCGCGCGCGAACGACGATATGAGGAAAAATCGTTTTGGGAGTGTTTGGAACACACGGCATCGACTTTGATTAAGTTTTCTTTCGCTTGGCCTGCGATACTGCCTTTCTTGGATAATATTTACAACGTCACAATGTGGGTTAGGGATCGTATGTATGAGTTCGTCTGCCCCCGCTTGCGGGATAACCCAACATCACGATTCTTACGGCGGGGGCGCTTTGCGGGTTGGTGTGGCTTGTGCTGTCGGCATGCGTGCTGGTGATGGCGATCGGGAGGTAATCAACAATGGGTGTTTAGGGGAATGGCTGTGGCTTGGTTTGCTGGAATCCTGTTGGATGGCGTGTTGCGGGTTTACAAAGCTTGGCTGGAATAGTTGATTGAATTCCGTTCTCTGTTTACAGCTGTACTACTCGTTATATAAGACACATTCCATCATGTCATACCAAATCATTAAACATACTATATAGTAAGTAAAAGATATATCCAAAAAAGGATAACTACGAAATAGGCTTAATAGCGTAGAGCTACCATCCTAAAAACATTTATTCTTCTAACTTATTAATTTTATAATATTAGGGAGTGTCTATGGTGTCCCGCTATGTAGAGACGGGCGTTACTTGTTCTTCGTAGCTCCTGTGCTGGACTCGATTCATACATAAAAAAGCATACTCCAAACTTGTAATGTTGAAAAATCTCTCTTTTTCATAACTATTTGTTGAATGATGTCTTTCATCTCATCTCATATCCTCTCGTGTCTGCCTCATTTTCAAGACACAAAGTATACACCTAGTACATAGCAACTTTCCACTATATATATCTCTCTCTAAGAAATCAAAACGCCCTAAAAATGCACACAAAACCCCCAAGATCACTTGAAAAGAAAACGTCTCCGCCGACATTACTCCAGCACCGCCTTCAACCCAAACCAGAGCCATGTTGAAAAGCCACAAGGTATGGGTTTAACTCAAATAGAAAGGGTACAAAATACCCAAAAAAGGAGAGAACGCCGAAAACACCATATGCTGTGGTTGGTGTATTGTTGAAGTACTGGAAATCGAAAAAAAGAAAGGCATGTTTCCATGCCACCGACTCCCCTGAAAGAAAACTCGTTCATTCGTCGTCTTCGTCGAAAGGGAAAAGAACCACCGTCTTCACGTAAGAAGAGGTTTAAGTCGGGTTCGGCGCGGCGGCACCCGTGATATCGCTGTCCTCGCCCTGAACAGGGGCGCAAGTGCAGAAGAGATTTGTGTCACCGTACGCTGTATGATCGTTAGCTAAAATTTCCCTCTGCAAAACACCTAAAAAACTCGAAACAGAAAAAGGAAGACATACCATCATCCAACCTCGCCACCGAAGGCCAAAACTTCTTGTCCCTAAGATAACCCAGCGGATACGCCGCCTTCTCCCTCGAATAACTGCGGTCCCACTGCTCCCGAATAAGGTCCTGCTGCGTATGCGGGCTCATCTTGAGCACATTGCCGTCCCGGGGCTGCTTTCCCTCTTCTACATCCTTGATCTCCTGGCGAATAGAAATAAGAGCATCACAGAAACGATCAAGCTCGGCTTTGCTTTCCGATTCGGTGGGCTCAATCATGAGGGTGTTGGCGACAGGCCAGGACATGGTGGGGGCATGGAAGCCGTAGTCTTGAAGGCGCTTGGCGATGTCGATTGCTTCTACGCCGGCGGTTTCCTTGAAGCCGCGGACGTCGAGGATGAATTCGTGGGCGCAGCGGCCTTCAGAGTTTGTGTAGAGAATGGGGTAGTGGGGCTTGAGGCGGGAGAGGATGTAGTTTGCGTTGAGGAGGGTGATTTTGGTGGCTTGGGTTAGGCCGAGGGCGCCCATCATCTTGATGTAGGCCCAGCTAATGGGAAGGATGCTAGCGCTGCCCCAGGGCGCGCCGCTGACGGGGTGGATGGCTTGGGAGCCACCCGTTTCGCCGCGGAGGTGGCCGGGGAGGAAGGGCGAGAGGTGCTCCTTGACACCGATGGGACCAACACCTGGACCACCGCCGCCGTGGGGGATACAGAAGGTCTTGTGGAGGTTGAGATGGCATACATCGGCACCAATCTCGCCAGGCGAGCAAAGACCGATCTGGGCGTTCATGTTGGCACCGTCCATGTAGACTTGACCACCGTGTTGGTGGATAAGGTCGCAGGCCTCCTTGACGTTGGGTTCGAATACACCAAAGGTACTGGGGTAGGTAACCATGAAAGCACCAAGCTCGTCACTGTGCTTCTCGCACTTGGCCTTGAGATCTGCCATATCGAGATTGCCAGTGGCTTGGTCACACTTGATGGGCACAACGCGCATACCGCACATGGCAGCACTTGCAGGGTTGGTACCGTGAGCAGAGACGGGAATCAAGCAAATGTCACGCTTCTTGCCAGGTTGCTGCTCGAGATACTTGCTAATGACGCGAAGACCAGTGAATTCTCCCTGAGCGCCAGAGTTGGGCTGAAGAGAGACAGAGTGGAATCCGGTAATGTTAGCAAGATCGTCTTCCAACTGTGTGATCATCTCAGTGTATCCCTTGGCGCGCTCCAGTGGCAGGAATGGGTGTAGGTTGGAGACTGTGTCGAACGAAACGGGAGCCATCTCAGCGGTAGAGTTGAGCTTCATGGTGCATGATCCGAGGGGAATCATTGAGTGAACAAGTGAGAGATCCTTGGAAGAAAGGTGGTTAATGTAACGAAGAAGCTCTGTCTCGGAATGGTGAGAGTTGAAGACTGGGTGGGTCATGAACGGGCTGGTTCTCTTGAACGGTGCAGGAAGCTCAATATCAACTGGCTCGTTAAAGTGCACCTTGTCGCCCTTTCCAAACTTCCGGAATACTCCGAGCAGATTGGTGATAGTCTGAGCGGTTGTGGTCTCATCGACCGAGATACCAATGTGTTTGTCGTCGACCCTTCGGACAAGGAGTTCCTTCTTTTCGAGCTCAGCAATGATTCCGTCGGTGTTACCTCCAGTCTCTACGATGAAGGTATCAAACAAAACAGGGGAGTTGTCCATCTTTCCACGCTGACCAGTCTTGAAGCCGTTGTCGATGATAGCTTGTTGAATGAGGCGGGCCTTGGCAACGACTTGCTTTGCAATGGCAGTCAGACCGTTTGGTCCGTGGTAAACACCATACATGGCACTCATGTTGGCCAAAAGAGCCTGTGCGGTGCAAATGTTGCTCGTTGCCTTTTCGCGGCGAATGTGCTGCTCACGAGTCTGCAGCGCAAGTCGTGCCGCCTGGTTGCCGAGCCTGTCTTTGGAAAGACCGATCAAGCGACCAGGAATCTTACGCTTGTACTTCTCGTCACAGGCAAAGAAAGCAGCATGTGGTCCACCGAAGCCCAGAGGCACACCAAAGCGCTGTGCGTTTCCGAAAGCGATGTCGGCGCCGAACTCTCCAGGGGGAGTGAGCAGTGTAAGAGCGAGGAGATCGGTGGCTACACTGAAGAGAGCACCCGTTTTGTGTACCTTCTCAGAAAGTCCGCGGAAATCGTTGACACCTCCGTCTGTGTCTGGGTACTGAGCCAACACACCGACGAGATCTTGGCCAATCTCCTCTACCCTCTTGCTGTTGTCCTTGAGAATGTCGGCAACCTCAATCTTGATACCGAAACCCTCGGCACGAGAATGCAGAACAGCAAGCGTCTGGGGGTGGCACTTGTCCGAGACGAGGAAAGTCTTGTTCTTGCTCTTCTGCTTGGATAGCGGCATGACGCCCATGGACATGGTCATGGCCTCGGCTGCGGCAGTGGGCTCATCGAGAACTGATGCGTTCGCGATGCTGAGACCGGTCAGATCCGTCACCATGGTCTGGAAGTTCAGCAGCGACTCCAAGCGTCCCTGGCTGATTTCCGGCTGGTATGGTGTGTAGCTCGTGTACCATGCAGGGTTCTCGAGCACATTCCTCTTGATGACCTCTGGCACCTTTGTTCCGTAGTATCCTTGCCCGATCAGGCTCTTGCCGGGTTTGTTCTGGTCCAAGATCTTCTTTGCGTTGTTGAGGAAAACGGACTCGGGCACTCCGTTGTTCTGC